CTTCTGGGCTGCTTCTGCACTGTGGTGGCGCATGTCCAGCTTCTCATTGACTAGTACCCCCAAGTCTTTCTCCAGTTACCTGCTTTCTAACGTGTCCTCTCCCAGCCTGTATTGGTAATGTTGGTTGCCTCTCCCCAGATGCAGGACCCTGCACTTGGCCTTGTTGAACCTCATGAGATCCATCTGAGCCCACCTCTCCAGCCTGTCCAGGTCCCTCTGGATGGCCTCCCGTCCCTCTGGCATGTCAGCTGCACCACCCAGCTCAGGATCGTCAGCAAACTTGCTGAGGGTGACTCGGTGCCACTGTCTGTGTCACTGATGAGGATGTTCAACAACACCAGTCCCAGTAGGGACCCTTGAGGGACACCACTGGTCACTTTTGCCCAGCTAGACATCGAGCCATTGACCACGACTCTCTGGGTGTGACCATCCAGCCAGTTTCTTATCCACTGAACAGTCCCCATTGAACCCACATCTCTCCAGCTTAGAAAGGAGGATGCTGTGGGGGACAGTGTCAAAGGCCTTGGCAAAGTCAAGATAGATGACGTCCACACGTCCACAGCTCTTCCCTTGTCCACCAGTGCAGCTGTTCGATTCTAGAAAGCCACCAGATTGGCCAGGCAGGACTTGCCCCTGGTAAAGCTGTGCTGACTCTCCTGAATTACCTTCCTGTCCTCCATGTGCCTCAGCATTTCTTCTATGAGGATCTAGGAGCATCTTGGAGCTCTGAGGAGACAAGAATGTCTCCTTGCTGAGCTCAGCTAAGGCTAAATGGTTGTACAGACATAAGAAGTTCTTGCCGCAGTTGGAGCTGAAACTGCAGGTATTTGTGTGTGCTGCTGCCTATCTGCTCAAGTATTGCCACTGCTAGGACTTGCTTGGAGTTGCACTTAATATTCCTGGCTTCGTCTTCCCAGCTGTGGTGGGAACATTGGAAGGGCATGTACCACCACTCCTGTTCTTGATTAGGTGCTTGGCCTTCTGGAGTCAGTGTTCTCAGAACAGAATTAGACCTTTCTTGTTCTGTATGTGTCCCCGCAAACAAGGCCACCCTGCCCCATCATGGGATCACCCATGGGGACATAGAGTATCAGCCTAAAGCAGAGGGACTATACCAGTTGAAAAGCTGTTCCACCTGGGACCATAAGGATGCTAGGTAAGAGGGTGATGTTTTTCAAATCGGAGGCATTGCTAAACTTCAGGATGAGGAACAAGCTTTCTCCTTGGTGCCCCAAGCATCACCTGTAAAGGCCAGAGGGAGGAGGAAGCCACTGCTCCCTTGCACAGAGCAGTTTCTTTTTCTCATGCCTTTGTGTCCCGCATGAAAAGCGTTTCTAAAGCTGCTGCAGCACATAAAGGAGGCCAGATCACTGTTGACATGCTCCAAATATCTCTACAGGGACTAAAAGGGTTCCCAGAAGCTGTGGTTGTACTTTGAAGCATCTTCAGAGCCTTGTGTTGCCCCTTAATGGATGTTCACAGCCAGGGACAGTGCTGTGATTTGCTTTGAGTCCTGCTGGAAATGAGGCCTGTAATGGAAGAGCTGGAGCCCAAAACCCTGAAAAGAAGCATAGCTGAACTTCCAATCAGTCATCCCAGAAGGGAGCTTAGTGTGAGGATACTCCACAGCATGTTTTGTTGATCACCAAACGTGAGCTTGGAAAAGGATTCCAGCCTCTAGCTGGAGGGAAATACTAGTTCCTCCTTCATTCTCCTTGCCCTCACTCCCTGGCAGTTCCCATGGCTGCTGGCTCTGCATGGGGGGAGCATCTATTCTCCACTTTGCCTGCAGTAGCTGAGGATGACCTGTGGCTTGTAGCTGAAGAGTCAGCATTAAGGTACTGTGTCTTCTGGGACTGTGGGGTGGTCTGACTGGAGTAGGTGTATCAGCCTAGGATGGCATTGCAGGTACCATGCAAGGGGTTTGCATTCATCTGTGTACAGAGAACAGGAAGAGCTGTGGCTGAGCTTTTAGAGGAGGATGGAAGTGACTGGGCAGCTCATGTGAAGATAGAGTCAGATTTGTAGGTGAAGCAGAAGGAAGAACTGGGGAGTTGTTCTGTCCGGCCTTGAGGTAGAATTTGATTTAGGATTCCATTGTCCACTTTGTTTCTGGAAATCTAGTTGTTTTGGAAAAGAGTGTGTCACTGTAAAGAGGAGGGGAAGGAGTTTGCACATGTGTGATCACACAAATGAAAATAGTCTCTGTGCTTTGTGCTCAAGCCCAGGTACCACTTCCTGCCTTTGGAGCAGTGCAAAGGTCCTGGGCACATCTGCCTGCTCAAGCACATCCAGTCTTTTCTCTGTTGACCACCTTCCCTGTGTGAACGACTATCCTCGGTGGCTGGGCTGTTTCTCCTGAGCCATGAGTGTTTCTCTGCAGGGGAGAGCAGGGTCTGTCCAGCTCCTCCTGCTTTCTTCCCCTTCCCCCACCTTTCAGCCAGCAACAGAGATACTGCAGGGCAGGCCTCAGCCTTGGGAGAATTCCCTGGAGAAAAGTGAGCAGTGACATCAGCATCAGTCTCTGTGTCTCCCTGTTAGCACCTGGCATTTCAGCAAGTACCCTCTTGGCTGTCTGCTCCCCTTTTTCCTCCTGTTAGCATCACAGCACGTTGTGTGAAGTGCTGTACATCACACAGGGTGTGGCAACCCCATGAACACCATCCGAGCCCAGGCTGGAACTGTGCTTGTGTTAGGCACAGTGGTGGCATGGCTACAAAAGGGATCTTGCAACCAGGGGAAGTTACACAGGGAATGTTTCCTCCAGGTTTCTGTAACTGCTGCTATTGCTCCCCTTGCCTGCTGAATGTGAATGGAGTGGCCACAGGTTCTTCCTGAAGGGCTGTGCTG